GCAAGCCATGCTGTGGTAGGCGTCCTACATATAAAGTCGAGGAAGATGGGCATGGATGTTAGCTCAGGGCCAGTCTTCCTCAGCAAAAAATCCCCCCAAAACAAAAGATCCTGTTTTTTTAATCTTCCTCAAAAAAGAAAAAAAATTAGTTGACCATAGATGTATGAGTTTATTTCTGGACTCTTAATTCTAGTCCACTGACCTGTTTGTCTATCCTTATGCCAGCACCACAACTGTCTTAATTACCATTGCCTTTGTAGTAAATTTTGAAATCAGGAAGTATGAGTTCTCCCACTTTGTCTGATTTTCAGGATTGTTTTTGTTATTTATTTATTTATTTTTGCAATTCCATATGCATTTTAGAATCTGCTTATCAATTTCCACAAAGAAGTCAGTTGGGATCCTGATAGCAATTACATTGAATCTGTAGATCAGTTTGGGGGAGTCTGCCATCTTAAAAATGTTGTCTTCTGATCCATAAACATGATATTTTTCCATTTATTTATATCCAATTTCTTTCAACAATATATTGTATTTTTCAGAGTATGCATTACACTTCTTTGTTAAATTTATTCCTAATATTTTATTCTTTTTTATGCTATTATAAATGTAAACATTTTCTTAATTTCATATTCAGATTATTTACTCCAAGTGCATAGAAATACAACTGATTTTTGTATGCTGATCTTGTATCTTCCAACCTTGCTGAACTCATTTATTTAAAGGTTTTTTTTTTTAGTGAATTGCTCAGGGTTTTCTCTATAAAGGTCATGTCATTTGCAAATAGAGATAACTTTACTCCTTACTTTCCAATCCGAATGCCTTTTATTTAATTAATTAACTAATTTAATTTTTTTTTGCTTAAATGTCCCAGGTAGAACCTCCAGTACAATGCTGAATAGAAGTGGTGAGAGCAGATATCTTTATACCTGATGTTAGGGGAAAAGCATTCAGTCTTTTCATCATTAGGTATGATGTTAGCTGTGGGTAATTTTCATTGATGCCCTTTATCAGGTTGGGGAAGGTCCCCTCTATTTCAAATTTTTTGAGTGTTTTTATCATGAAAGGGTGTTGGGTTTTGTCAAATGTTTTTTCTGCATCTATTGAGATGACGTGATTTTTATATTGATATGAAGTGAAATTCAAATCAAATGTAAATAGCATTATAGATGAAACAGCTGACCATGGGAATACTGACACTGACAATCTTTGAGACTCCAGATATACCTCTAGAGGGACTTAGTGAAGGTGAAGTTATCTGCATAAATGAGGAAAGTGACTGTGAAGAAACAGATGAAGACGTCTCAGAGGAGGAGATACCTGCAAAAAGCTTCACGTTAAAAGTGCAAAGTACAAATGTTGGAAGCTGATCCAAGTTTAGAATGGGGTGTGAGAACTTGATAAAATGTAGAAAAAAATGCTTGCTTATATCATAAGTTATATCATGAGAAGTTCAAACTACCATTTGTAAAGTTTTTTACCAAAAAATAAAACACTTTAATTCTTAATGTTTCTAATGTTTTAAGTTACAGTGTACTAAATAAACTTAATTTTTCTACACCCATTTCCTTATACATTTATAACTGACAGGGTTTTAAACGTTTGATAAACAAGTTTAAAGGCCATGGAATAATTGTAATTTTCCCCATTGCTTATTAAGTTCGCTTTGCATAGCCTCTGCTTGCACAGTCATTTTTATGGTATTGCACTCCTGTGCAAAGAGAGGACTGTCTGTATTCTATTACGACTACCAAATTATTACATATTTAGACTTCATTAGGTTTAAGAGTGATGTCTTCTTGCTTTTCCTATTCCCCTACCATCCCTTCTCAAATAATTCAGTCCTAAAGTCATTAGATGGAGTGAGCAAGGTAGATATAAGCATATTAGGGTGGCTTAGCATGGGATTGTGGGAGCCAAGAAGAGTAGACGGTACCTGCATGGGAGGGTAGCTCAGCACGGGGATTGGCTATATATAGGTGAACTAATAAAATAAGCAAATATAGTAAGGATAATGGCAGCCAGATTTCTCATTGTTGGAGAAGGAAGTTACAAATATGCATTCAGTAAAGTTTGGAACCACTTGATAAAAATGGTAAATGGTCTGATAAAAATAAATGGAAAGTTTGATGAGGCATGGCATTTTTCCATACTTTCAAAATACCTCCCCAGAAAATACTAATCAATCACAAAGGCAAAAAGAATAATTTCACAGTAGAGAAACCTGGCAGATACTCTCTTAATGAAGTCATCTGAGTAATGGAAGAAATGAAATCATGTGCCATTTGATTGTATGCAACGAAAAGAACGCAGCATGAAGACCATCAGCCAAACTCAAACTGAGGGACATTCTACAAAATAACTGGCTTGTAATCTTCAAAGTTGTCAATGTCGTGAAAGTTAAAGAAAGACTGAGGAACTGTTCCAGATTGAAGCAGACTTGAAAGTTGATCTAATGCAATGCCTGATTCTGGACTGGAACTACTGGCATAAGGGAGTTTGTAGGGGCAAGAAGAAAAACTTGAATGGGGCCTGAGGATAGTATTAATGTTAATTTGTGTTGACAGTTTTATTATGATTATGTAAGAGATTATATTTGTCCGTAGGAAATACTAACATTTTTGAGAGTGATGGACATGATGGTCAGCAACAAACTCTCATGTGGTTCAGGAAAAGAAAAAGTTCTTTCTAATGTACTTGCAACTTTTTGTAAATTTGAGATTATTTCAAAATAAAAACTTTAAAAAAGTGATGTAACCATTTCACTTAAAAATATCCATCTGGGGCCGGCCCGGTGTCCCAGCAGTTAAGTGCACACGTTCTGTTTCGGTGGCCCGGGCTTCGCCGCTTCAGGTCCCATGGCACCGCTTGGCAAGCCATGCTGTGGTAGGCATCCTACATATAAAGTAGAGGAAGATGAGCACGGATGTTAGCTCAGGGCCAGTCTTCCTCAGCAAAAAGACGAGGATTGGCAGCAGATGTTAGCTCAGAACTAATCTTCCTCAAAAAAAAAAAAAAAGCCCATCTTATGGGGTGGCCCTGTGGCCGAGTGGCTAAGTTCACACGCTCCACTTAGGTGGCCCAGGGTTTTGCCTGCTGGGATCCTGGGCGTGGACATGGCACTGCTCATCAAGCCAAGCTGAGGTGGCATCCCATATGTCACAACTAGAAGGACCCACAACTAAAAAAAAATATACCACTATGTACCAGGGGGCTTTGGGGAGAACAAGGAAAAATAAAATCTTAAAAAAAAAGTCCATCTTTATTGATATTCTCTTTATTGATGAAAAATTTTAGATGTTTTTCTAAAAAATAAAAAGAAGGTATAGTGGTTTTTCAAATTATTTTAGAAGTCACTTGAAAAAAAACAAGTTAGAATACCACTGCCCTGGAAGATCTAACTTCCCTCTCTATGGCTCCAGGCAAATGAAATACCTTTCTGAACTCTTCTAGGGCGGTTTCTCTGCTCTACTCACATGCTATTAATAGAAAACATTGTATTTGGGAAGAGAGGGGATTAGTACTCCAGGATCTAATTCCTGGGTTCAAAAACCTGACTCTAATGTATATTTGATAGCCAGTTACTTAACCTCTCTCTGCCTCAATTTTCTTATCTGCAGTAACGTAGCTGTACTTAGGACAGGGGACGTACGGTACAGAGCTCCATAATACCAATTATTATCATTATTTCTAGGGTCTGAGCTCTTACAGAGCACAATCCATATTTTACTTGTATTCTCCTTGTTTCTGTCCTACACTGTTTCCCAGGTCATCTTTTCTCCAGTCTGTCTTCATCTAATCTATCATTCACACTCTTGCAACTGTTGTCTTCTTCATCTATAAATCTGATCATGTCATTCTCTCTGTTCAGGATGCTTTCCCAGTGCTTACAGCATAAAAGTAAAAATTCACTCCCACAACCAAGTAACATCTCTGCTCGCAGCCCATGGGCTTAGGGAGAGTTGCACCAAGCATGCTTTCACACTTTTGCATTAGCCTTTGTTCCAGTTGTTTTCGTGTGTCTGAAACGTCCTTTCCTCCGTGATCACACTCCATTCATTCTTAAAAGTTGGTCTCAAAGACTCATTAGGCTTTCTCACAAGCAATTAGTCACCTGTTGTTCTGGGGTCTTACAGCATTAAGTTCATAACTCCATACCTGCCAATCATACTTTGTTAATAATTTAAAATCTCACTCCCTGTAGGTCATTCATTCATTAATCAAATATTTATTGAACATCTATTAGATAAAAGGCCCTGTTCCCAGCACTGAGGGTACATCTGTGAACACGACTACGTTCTTACGTAATTTATATGGACGTTATATAAGTAAGAAAATAAAAAACATACTAGATCGTGGTAAGTGCTGCGTAGAGAACGTCCAGTGAATATGATTAGCTGTTCAAGGTTGCATGGTCAGGGAGTGCTTTTCTGAAGTACCTTTAAGCTATTAATTTGAAAGCGCCTAAGCGACAATTAGAGGGGAAGAGCTGTCCAGGTCGCGGGAACAGCTGGTGCAAAGGCAGAAATGAGCAGGTGCGGCTGGAGCCATGAGGGGCAGAAAGGTTGTGAAGTCGAAGAAGCTCCAAGTGGTGGTCCCAGATGAGTGTCTACAAAGGCTGACACCGCCACTTCGTGTAAAAGGTCTGGGACAAGGGAGGGCAGGCGCCGATTCCCACCCCGCATGTGGGTTCCTCGACCAGCGATCGACACCCTAAACGGGCTTTCCCTTTGGATCTTCTCACACCAGCCCTGTTCTCTCTGGCAGTGGCAAGAGATGCAGCTGTTGACCGCCAACGATAGGACACAGGAACCCCCGGAAAGAGTCAGACGGGCAGAGGCGAAGGCCGGGCGGCAGAGAAGGCAGGCGCACACGACGCCGCAGCTGGCGGAAGAGGCGGGCGGAGGCGCTCCTCCGAGGCCCGCCTGGCGCGAGTACCGCGCATGCGGGCGCGCGTGCCCTCGTCGGTTAGGGCGCCGGTCCCGAGAAGGGGCGGGGCCGGGCATCCGCGCCGGAAAGGGGCTGGCTGGGCGGGGCCGGGAAGCGGCGGTGGCGGCTGCGCGCGCGCGCGGGTGCGAACGGGGGGCGCCGCGAGGGCCGGGGCGGGCCGGGCGGTGGGGACGACGGACGGCGACGATGGCCGCGGCGGCGGGCAGCGGCGGGTTGGGGGCGGCGGCGGGCGCCACGAGTGCAGGAGGTGCGGCGGCGGCCGCAGGCCTGGCCGTTTATCGGCGGAAGGACGGGGGCCCGGCCAGCAAGTTTTGGGAGAGCCCGGAGACGGTGTCCCAGCTGGATTCGGTGCGGGTCTGGCTGGGCAAGCACTACAAGAAGGTGGGTTCGCGCGCCCGTGGGAGCCAGGAGGCCACGCGACGCGGGCCGGGGGCGACTACTGGCCTTGCGGGCCTCTGGCCGCCCCTCCCCCCCGCGCGCCACGAGGGACAACAAAGGCCGGCGCGGGGCCCGCCACGCCCCCGCCGTCCGGCCAGGGCGCTGGCGGCCTGGGGCTCCCCGGATCCCCCGCGGACCGGCTCCTTGGAACCCACGCACCCCGGGCGAAGGCCCCTGCTCACCCCGCTGTGCGGGAGCAGGTCGCGCTCAGCACCCCGGAGGGTCGGAATCTTCCTCTTTTGTTAGCTGCAGTGGGTGCGTGAACGTTGATTATTAAGAACTGCCTGGGCCAGAGCTGTAAAAGTAGCTTCAAGTTTTGTTTAGAGACTAGTCTTCCAAGGCAAGTAAGTTAAGGTTTTGCTACCTGTTGTTGATTTGCTAAAGGACTGTGGACGATTGTACTTGGAAGTTAATAACAGCAGGTTAATATAATGAATTATAGTATTGATGAGAGCTAATATTAGAAAACAGCGGTTTTATTTCATAGTACTTTTGGGTGTGTTTCGGGATAATACAAGAGTTAATGTTCACTTGCACCTAATGTGTTTCTCAGGCCTTCCCTGAGAACCCCATTTATATTAGATCCCCCCACTTCATAACACCTTTATTTTCTTTGTACCACTTTTTGAGATTATTTTTCCTTTATCTGTTTCTTCTACCTTTGGAATGTAAGTTCTGCTGAGTCAGTGATACTGAAAGTTGTGACTTAACCTCTTGTTTATAACAAATGTTTTTTAACTTCCCCTTCGTGTAAATATTTAGGAATGCCGCCCTTAGAAGGTGTAATGAAGCAGACAGCCAAAAATACTTCCCTCTGCCCCCAAGTTTCTGGAACACCCTTTTCAGTTCTGTACTTGCCCCAATGAGGACCATGGCACTGGGGCCAGGAGCTTGTCATGCCTGTTCACTACGGCGTGTCCTGGAGCATAGTTGGTGCTTACTGCCTCGCCCTTAGTAGTTGCTTTGTATTTGTCGAATGAGTGAGAAGATAATGTAGGCTAGGAACCTAGTCATTTGGGATGTGTCAGCTTTTGAAAGTTGTTGGGCTAGGACAGGTTCTTAGGTTCCTTTGACATTGCACTATGGAACTTTCAGAAATGACTGCTCTTATCTGAAGTTTTAGCAAGTGAGAGACAACATATACTTTTATTTGCAATATATTTTTAGACGCTTTGACTTTTTCCCCCCTGAAATTTCGGTGTCACATTTGGGATTTTTCTCATCTACATGTAATTAGACAAGAATATTGCTCTTCCTAGTACAGTGATAAATTGGTCAGTTTTTTGTGTAGGCCTCTCTAAGGGAACTGAATATATTTATATCGTGGAAGTATTAATTATTTTTTTATCACATGCCTTTCAGCCAGTGCTTTGCATCTTAAATTCAGTGTACCTTAATGTAGTTTGTTTTCCCCAGTCTGGATTTTCCCCCCCTGGTTTTATTGAGATATAATTGACTTATAATATTGTATTATTTTATCAGTGTAGTTTTAACAAAAGAAAATACTCAGGAGTAATGTTCCTTTGGGTGTCAAGGAAGGGGGAAAAAAAAAGGAAATAATAGTCATTTCTACCTCTCCAAACACTGTGCATCTGTTTGGGCCCAGTTTTAAGAGGTGGGCTTTAGGCTTGGATCATCCTTCGGAGATTTGCCTGGGTGAGTGAGGAAGTGGCTATGCGGCTGACTGAAGGATGTGTCCCAGAGTGTTGAGCCAAGTAGGCTAATGTTGGCTCAGTGTCCCTGAGGCCTTAAAGACAAAGTCACAGTTAGATTTGACTTCTCAGGGTTTCGTAAAGCTAGAGTATGTTTCTTGGCCCCACTCCGATTCAGAATTGTATGTCCCTTAGGTCTGGCAGCTAGAAGCCCATGAGCCTCTGAGAGTGATGAAAGTATCAACCAGAAGGTTCTTTGCTTCTTTTATACATAGTGTCTCTCTACTTGGTGTGCAGATTGATGGGTTTAAACTAAACTTTTCTATTGCATTTAAGACTGCACTTTCAGATTCAAAAATCTCAGCAACTATATGAAAGAAATGTAACATTGGTAGTCCCGTTTTATCTATGCATTCAGTGAGCGACTGAACATCTCCCCTATCCGGGCACTTAAAACAGAACTCAGATCCTCACAACAGTCCTGAATGATATATTGATGTTGTTTGGCATTGATTTAGTATTTGGTATTGATATTATTTCCTGAATAGATATTACTTACATCATTTTACAAGTGAGAGGAACTTGTGGCTCCAGATTTAAGTAACTTCTCTAAGGTTACAGTTAGGAGTGCCAGATATGGGGGTTAGATGAAGATCTGTCTAGCCCCAAACCCCAATTTTTTTCTTTTGCTCCACATAATCCCTCTCTTTTAGGAACTCACAGTGTTGTGGAAAAGATAGACATAGACGTCTGCTTGTGAAACCCAGATAATTTCAAATTAAAAGAGAACTTCCTTGTATTTTGTTGTCTAAATGCACTTACTAGGTGCTGAGTAAATATTTCCTCTGTGAATGAGCTGAGTAACTAGTGTAGGAATGGGTTCATTTAAGCTTTGTTGATAAATTTGGCTTAGCAACACAGAAGGGAGAGTGAATACTTTTTGACTGGGATGAGCTTCAACTAGGCCAAAGGAGTCCAGAGGTGACCACTTTAGGTAAGAGGAAGCTGAAGCACGGGGAGGTTAACTGCCTGAGGTTGTATTTTAAGTCTGGAAGAAGTGCAGAAGCTTGTTCATCTCCCACCTAAGTTGCCTTCTTTGTATTATTGAGTACATGTCTTCCATCCTAACTCTGATAAAGATAAGAGCTGTATTTCTGTCTATAGTTTCAGAGTGGTTTTTCTTTTTCTTTTCTTTTTTTGTGAGGAAGATTGGCCCTCAGCTAACATCTGTGCCAGTCTTCTTCTATTTTGTGTGTGGGATGCTACCATAGCATGGCTAGATGAGCTGTGTGTGGGTCCACGCCTGGGATCTGAACCTGCGAACCCCGGGCCACCAAAGTGGAGCATGAAAATTTAACCGCTATGCCATCAGCCTGGCCCCATGAGTGTTTTTTAGATGATAAAACCTTACTGATCTCAAATTGATTCAACTCAGATACCTTGGAGGTGAAGTTTATCTGTAAGCCATTAAGTTCCCAGGTAAGTTTCTTCCCAAAGTTTGGTTTATTCCTGAAATAAGATTTAAGATTTCAGGATGATTGAAAGATGATTTAGATTGAAGGATGATCACTAAAATAGTCTAGATTGCATACAGGAGGCATTTCAGTGTCCTTTACATAAATTATTAGACAGTTAAAGACAGTTAAATCTTTATTTTTTGGGGGGACATTTCCTAAATTGAAATAGAATTGTTTAGGGACAAATTAAACTTTTGATATTTTATTAATGCCATAGGTAATAGAAAGCAGAGTTATTGATAAGACTTCTAAACATATCATCCTGTCTTAATCAAAATACTTGGAGACCAAAAAATTTTTGTTGTCTAAAGTAAAAGATGGTGTTGAGCTTTTTTTGATCAAAAGATAAAATGTTTATGACTGAAATAGTCTATATAATCATTAAAATTTTTTTCTTAATCAGAATTCAGTATTTTGAAAGCAGTTAAGAACTTACATTTTAGGTGATATTTTTGGAAGCGGTTGAGATGAACTCTCATGTAAGTCTGGGGTAGTGGAATGAGCAGTTACACTTGGTTTGGAAGATGTGAGTTCAGTACTCTTGGCGGTGTACTTAATTGACTTAATTGGTGGCGTCCTTAAGCAAATGACTTGATTTCTAGGTTTGAATTTTTCGTTTGTAAATTAAGACTGAGAGTCCATTGGACTGTTGTTTGAATCAAATGAGGTAGTCCTTAAAGATGGGATTATATACATTTGAGGTGGTAGTGATACTTTTGCTATATATCCATTCCATGGTCAGCCTGCTTCATTCTTATTGGTTAAATAGAATGTTACTATTTTGAAATTTTTAAAAGTTGATTTGAAAACCTTAGAGGTGTATATTGGCTGCCTTTTGAGTGGGTATGAGGTATAGTTTACACTAATACATTAATTTCACATTTCATTTATGAATTAAAAATGTCATCTCGTATACATTTTCAGGTTTGATAATTTTTGTGGGTGATTTGGAAAAAAAAATCTAACCAGAGTTAAGTAGTTTGTAATGAAAACATTGGATTTTAAAGTATCTAAGGTAATAATTTTGATTGGGCTTTGAATCTGGCTATCTTCATTGTGAAACTATAGGGTTGTCCACGTGAAACCTTTCTCATTCTGAATGACAGACTGTATTGAATGAAACGTGTGTAGTAGTGAAGTTTAGAATATACGAAGCGATGTATATATAACAGTTATTAAAAATTACTTTTTGCCTGAAGGGTTTAAATTATAGGAAAGTGTATTCTTTAAGTGAGATATATAATGGTATCTGAAATAGATTTTTAAAAAATTCCAGTGGTTCTTTTTTTTTTAAGTGTATGATTTCCATTTATTTAAAGTTCAAGAGAGTGCAAATTAATCTATGTAGACAGAAAGTGGTTACCTGGGGACAGAGTTGGAGAGAGAGAGGGATTACATACAAGAGGGCACGAGAGAACTTTTGGGGCTGATGTATGATTGTTATCTTGATTGTGGTGATGATTTAATGGGTGCTGAGGTCTAAATGTGTCCTCCCAAAATTGTATTTTGAAATCCCCAAAAGTCCAGTGGTTATTAAAGTGTGGTTCCCAGTTTAATAGTCAGTAGTGCCACCTGCAATGGGAACTTGTTAGAAATGCAAATTGTTGGGCCTGACCTATTGAATTAGAAACTTTGGGAGTGGGGCTAAAATTTGAGAACCATTATTTTAGACTAAAGAATTGACATTTTATATGCTTAATTGTATGAAACTTGTTTGAAGTTTTTGATTTATGTCTGGCATGCTTGTTTCACTTTGTGGTCTTATGGAAATGTGTTTTTATTTTTTTATTTTTTGGTGAGGAAGATTCGCTCTGAGCTAACATCTGTTGCCAATCTGCCTCTTTTTTTTGCTTGAGAAAGATTAGCCCTGGTCTAATATCTATGCCAGTCTTCCTTTATTTTGTATGTGTGTCGCCGCCACAGCATGGCTTGATGAGTGGTATAGGTCTGTGCCTAAGATCTGAACCTACGAACCCAGGCTGCAAAAGCAGAACATGCCGGATTTAAGCACTATGCCAGGGGGCCGGCCCTGGAAATGTGTTTTTATAGGACAGCCTTAAGATAAAAGGAAACCTTTTTGTTTCGCTGCTGAAGAATATTTGCCCTGAGCTAATATCTGTGCCAGTCTTCCTCTGTGTTTTGGTGTGTGGGCTGCCAGCACAGCATGGCTACTAACAGAGTGGTGTAGGTCCGGGCCCAGGAGCTGAACCTGGGTTACCAAAGTGGAGTGCCCTGAGCTTAACCACTAGGCTGCCAGGGCTGGCCCATAAAAGGAAACTTTTTTTTTTTTTGAGGAAGATTAGCTCTGAGCTAACTACTGCCAATCCTCCTCTTTTTGCTGAGGAAGACTGGCTCTGAGCTAACATCCATGCCCATCTTCCTCTAGTTTATATATGGGACGCCTACCACAGCATGGCTTTTGTCAAGTGCTGCCATGTCCACACCTGGGATCCGAACCAGTGAACCCCTGGGCCACTGAGAAGTGGAACGTGTGCACTTAACCACAGCGCCACTGGGCTGGCCCAAAAGGAAAACTTTTTAAAAATTTTTTTTTAAAGATTGGCACCTGAGGGCTGGCCCCTTGGCCAAGTGGTTGGGTTCGTGCGCTCCGCTGCAGGTGGCCCAGTGTTTCGTTGGTTCGGGTCCTGGGCGTGGACATGGCACTGCTCATCAGGCCATGCTGAGGCAGCGTCCCGCATGCCACATCTAGAAGGACTCACAAGTAAAATGTACGGCTATGTACCGGGGGGCTTTGGGGACAAAAGGAAAAAAATAAAATCTTAAAAAAAAATAAAAAAAGATTGGCACCTGGGCTAACAGCTGTTGCCAGTCTTCCTCTTTTTTTTTTAAGGATTGGCACCTGAGCTAACAACTGTTGCCAATCTTTTTTTTTTTTTTCTTCTTTATCTCCCCAAACTCCCCCTGTACACAGTTGTATGTCTTAGTTGCTGGTCCTTCTAGTTGTGGGATGTGGGACGCCGCCTCAACGTGGCCTGACGAGCAGTGCTATGTCCACGCCCAGGATCCGAACCCTGGGCTGCTGCAGCGGAGCGCGCAAACTTAACCACTGGGCCACCAAGCCGGCCCCAAGGAAAACTTTTTATAAGCATAAAAAGGAGTGGTCTAGAACAAGGGCAGGCAAAATTTTTCTCTAAAGGGTAAGAGAGTATTTTCTGCTTTGCAGCCATGCAGTCTCAGTTGTAACTGCTCAACTTTGCTATCGCACCAAAGCAGCATAGACAATGTGTCATGCATGAGTGTGCTGTGTTTTGATAAAAACTTTATTTATGGACATTGAAATTTGAATTTCATGTAATAGTTGTGTGTCATGAAATATTATTGCTCTTTTAAATGTTTTCCCACTTATTTAAAAGTGCAAAAACCGTTCTTAGCTTGTGGGCCACACAGGCAGCAGGCTGGATTTTACCAACCTTTGGTCCAGAAGATTTCATGCAAAATAAAGCGTTCCAGCAAAATACCAGTCTTCAGCAAAATTAACTGCGTATACTGGCTGTTTTGTTAGAGTGGAAAGCTCATACACCTGAACAAATAAAATTGGAGAGGATACTAAGCTTTAAGAAGAATTGTCCTTTTATATTATACTCTATCTTTGATTGGCAGTAGTACAAATTGAGAGCCATTCAAGTTAATGTATAATAATAGTAGACTGTGCAGCTGATATAATTTTGCCGTATATAAATCACTTAAAAATTATTTATTGTAGGGGCTGGCCCGGTGATGCAGCATTTAAGTTCTCACGTTCCACTTCGGTGGCCCGGGGTTCGCCGGTTCGGATCCCGGGTGCAGACATTGCACCACTTGGCATGCCATGCTGTGGTAGGCATCCCACATACAAAGTAGAGGAAGATGGCATGGATGTTAGCTCAGGGCCAGTCTTCCTCAGCAAAAAGAGGAGGATTGGCAGCAAATGTTAGCTCAGGGCTAATCTTCCTCAAAAAAAAAAAATATTTATTGTAGTAGAAACATACCACATTAATCTCGAAATGTTGGGTGGTATTGGGAAAGAGCTTTGCTCCAGGAAGAAGAGTTTAGTTACTCGTTATTGTTTGTAGAACTGAAGGAAGTACTGTATAAATGTTTTTCCTGCTCAAAATTGGAGGTTTTAAAAACAACACCGTCTACTCTCTGGCTACAGATTATTTATGTTCATCTCACAGAAAAGTACACTGGCTAGTAGATCTCATCCCATTATAGCGTCAGGCTCAAGTTTGAGGTCCAGGATCTCAACATCTAATTTAGGTCTATGTGCAGATGAGATGACTTGGGTTTGGTTTCTTGAGTGTGGTACCTCTCGTTCTGAAGATGTGTTAACTAAAGAGACACATTATCTCTCCCTCCCCACCACCCCAGTATTTGTTTTTGTAAGCTCCTTTACAGTTTATAAATCTGCTGCTGTGCCAGTGCTTAGTAGGTGCTAGGAAGTAAGCTAACATTCTCTTCTGTGTGATTGTCCCAGTTTCTGAGTCCCTGTCTTTATCTTGCAGTATGTTCATGCAGATGCTCCTACCAATAAAACGCTGGCTGGGCTGGTGGTACAGCTTCTTCAGTTCCAGGAAGATGCCTTTGGGAAGCATGTCACCAACCCGGCCTTCACCAAACTCCCTGTAAGTACATCAGCTTATGACAATGGGGCGTCTTCAGTTTCTGTACTCTTTCTTTTGCTCTGCTATCCTATACAATAAAAATTAAAAAAAAAAAAGGAATGCCAGCAGAATTTTGGCTATAATGTATATTGTCTTTTAACCGTAGGAAGCTTCTCTTTCAGGAGTCATTTACCATTTGCGTTAAACCGCACAACAATTACTGTGTAGATTTAACTGTTAACATTTTACTCTGTTGTAGTTTCCTTATAGTCTCTACTATACCAGGTCTTCTCCATTCTTCTGATTCAGTTCTGGTGGCTAGAATGCTGTTTCATAGAATTTTCTATTTTGTAGGTGGTTTTCTTTTGAGCTTGTGTGAAAATATAGTTCTGTCCTCCTTGCAATTGGTATTTTGACTTGTAGTTTGGCTTTGTATAGAAATACTGGGTTATGCTTTATTTCCTTTCAAAATCTGTAGATTTTGTTCTTTCTTTAACGTTTGATTTAGTAGAGACAAATCTGATACTACCTGTTGATTCCCTCCTCTTTTATACTGATCTTTGAAATTCAGAAATATGTCTAGTTGTGATAAGTCATGATCTTAAGAGTCAGTTATGTTTCTTTAGCTCAGGGAACATTCAGTCTGTTAATCTTCTCTTCTGTCCTCCACTCCTTTACTTAGATAAATATATTGTTGTGTTTTTTTTTTGAGGAAGATTAGCCCTGAGCTAACACCTGCTGCCAATCATCCTCTTTTTTTTTTTTTTTTTTGCTGAGGAAGACTAGCCCTGAGCTAACATCCATGCCCGTCTTCCTCTACTTTATATGTGGGACACCTGCCACAGCATGGCTTGCCAAGTGGTGCCATGGCTGCACCTGGGATCTGAACTGGCAAACCCTGGGTCCCCGAAGTGGAATGTGCGCACTTAACCACTGCGCCAGTGGGCCAGCCCCTACATAAATAATGTTTGAACTCTGATTCTACAGATGTGAAATTCCAAGGAACTACCTGTTATCTTTCCTCATAGTTTTTTCTTCTTTTTTTTTGGTGTGGAAGATTGGCCCTGAGCTAACACCTGTCACCAATCTTCCTCTTTTTGCTTGAGAAAGATTGTCCCTAAGCTAACGTCTGTGCCAGTCTTCTCCTATTTTGCATGTAGGATGCCGCCACAGCATGGCTTGATGAGCAGTGTGTAGGTCCACGCCTGGGATCTGAACCTGCAAACCCCAGGCTGCTGAAGTGGAGCGTGTAAACCCAACCACTGTGCCTCATAATTTTTGTCTTCCAGTTCTCTAATTTGGATTTTTGCAGTTTCTAGTCTGCTCTTTCCTGCCTGTAGTAAATTTATTATCAGTAGACCTTTTTTAAAATCTAAAAAGCATTTACTTTGCTTATGGTATTTTTGCCATTCAGACGTTTATTTTTATTTAGTCAAATATATTGATGTATTTTTGAATCACGTCAGGAATCTTTCTCTACTTGTAAGTAATAAAGCAATTCAGCCATGTGTTCTTCTAGTATTTGTATGGTTTTATTTTTCACAATTAAGTCTCATCCATTTAGAATTTATCTTGGTATTCAGTGTGAGCAGTGGATCCAGTTTTATCTTTTTCCATATGATTATCTGATTATCCCGGCAACATTTTTTAAAAAGTGCTTTTTTCCCCCACTGAGTTGAGCTGAGTGACTGTTAAGCATTTGATTATGTCTCAAGCTCTGAAAATTCAGTGAGTAATGCAGTGTATTGTCTGTCCTCAGGAGGCCCACAGTCTAGTGAGCTGTGTGAATAGAGCCTTTGACTTTCCTGATCTCAGGAAGTGTTTTCCAGGAGAAAGGTCATTTGAACTGAGTCCTGAAAGTTGAGTGACTTCTGCAAGGAAATGCTGGAGGATGGGATTTCCAGGCAGTGATAGCAACGTGTAAAAGCATAAAGGCCTGAGAAAATTTGGTACTTTAAGGTAGTTGTAAATAGTTCAACAAGGTGAGAAGTGAGGACAATAGGCAGAGAGATGGGCCGAAACCAGTTATAAAAAGACGAGTTTGCCCTGCTAGAAGTGTAGCTTTTATCTTGATAGTGATGGGGAACCACAACAAGTGAGAGAATAGAAGTTGGCTTAGTCAGTTTTGAGCTTTAGAATAGTCCTGCAGGCTTCAGTGTGAAGAATGGATTGGAAACCATTGAGATTGGAGACTTTGAAAGCTAGCTCTCTGTGAAGAAACTGCTTTCATAATCCAAGTGAGCTGGGATACCAGCCCATGGAGGAAGCAGTGGGTTCAAAGAGGACAGAGAGGAATTGAGAGAGTTTAAGGGGGTAGAACTTTGTGATTTTGGAGGGTTGTGGGGCTGGAATAAGAAAGAATTGACCAGGATGACTACACTGAGCAATCAGGTACCTTTGGCACTAAGGGAAAAGCCAGAGTAAAAGCAGGTTTCTGGAGAAGGTACTCAGTGTAGTCTAACTGTAGTTGAGGTTTGCTCTCCAGTAGGCACCTCTGGTTTAGAAATCCTATAGGTAGTAGGAGATGAGATCTGGAGTTCTAGAGAAAAGGCTGAATTAGAGGAAGAGTTTTGGGAGTTACTAGGTACTGGGTGAATTCACAGTTGGAGGGCAAGGTCTTCTTTTTGGACTTAATTCTTAGCTTATCCTTTTAAAATACCTACTCTTTAATGTGTGATTTATGTTTTATATATGTAATATGTTAGTGTTGTAGTGAGTGCATGTATATAATTTATAAATAAGTTTTTAGATATTGGAGGTACGTTCTCCTTTTTTACTATTGAGAACTGCTTAACTATATAATCAGTATATTTTTTTCTGAACCATGTGACGGGTTTTTTGGGTAACTTGTAAGTTTAAAATTAATTTGAAGTAAAAATTTGCAAGAATAGTGCAAAGGACTTTCATTTTCTCTTCTTCATTTCAGAATACCCAGTTATTAACGTTTCACCACATTTGCTTTCTCATTCTCTTTTTCTTTATGTGTGTGTATACAGTCATGCATCACTTAATGACAGGAATACATTCTGAGAAATGCATCATGAGGCGATTTCATCATTGTACTCAGAGTACACTTACACAAACCTAGATGGTATAGCCTACCACACAGCTAGGCTGTGAGTTACTAATCTTATGGGACTACTGTTATATATGCGTTCTGTTGTTGACTGAAATGTTGTTATGCAGCGCATGACTGTATATATATTTTCTGAAACATTTGAAAGCTCCATGTTCCTTTACCTCTAAATACTTGAGTGTTTATTTCCTGTTATATTATGAACTAGATTAAAATTATCAAATCAGGAACTGGTTGAGATTTTGATCATTTAAAACACTGTAATATGATATATACAGGTTGCACTTTATCAAGTACAACATCATTTAGAATAAAATTTACACATAACATTATATAAAGTATTTTATAATAATGATTCACCTTGTATTGGTATTTCTAATTAGGATTGTAAGACTGTCTTAAAAAATAGTATTTAAAGGGGGCTTTATTTGTGGGATATTTAACTCCTGGGAACTAAACCATTATTTTTTCCAGATTTTAAAGATTAGGGAAGAATATTTTTAGACATAAGACGTAATTAAAAATAATTTGTGGTTTAGTGCCAGTGGGACCAGATGTACTCCTCTTCCTCTCAAAATAGTGTTTGGCATTTTCCCAAATGAAAGAGACTGATACAGTGTATAATGGTGTAAAACACAAGTAGATGAGAGAGAATTAGAACAAAGGATGTTTTAGTGAAACATGTAAGCTGTTTACCTTAAAATGTTTTTTTTCCCTGAATACTGGTATAAGAGTTCACTACTTGGACTTATTCTTTCTTTAATCAAAGTGGAACTTCATATACTAACTTCCTAATTCGTACTGGATGTTAAATAGCTGGCTCGATGTAGTGTCTGTTTTAGCTAATGGTAACTAAAGAGTTAGAAAGATTTAGGGGAAAAAAAGTATTTCGTAAGGCTAAAAATATATGCACAGGCAAACATAATATGAATTGAAACAGAAGAAAAAAGGTTTTTTTTACCTCTACTACAGTAAAAATTCTTGTTTTTCCGTAATCCCTCGAAGGCTTATTACATATGCATACATAAATGTAAACATAATTGTAGGATAGAGCGAATTTTATATTCTGCCTTTTTAAATAGATCATAAGCATCTGTGTTTAAAAACAACAAAGTTCTAAGACCTAGAAGACTACTAGAAGGTCAAGTCAGAGTCTAAAGTATCTGAAGATTTTAAGTATGTTCATGAGATGTTCAAAATTTTCAACTTGTCTTTGCACTTAAAAAAATTAAGTATCATTAATTTGCAACTATGACCTGACTTACATTCTGCAATTCTGTAAATTTCAGGGTGGAAAGACTGTCTTGGGGACATGGAACTGGAAAGAAGAACATAAGTGTTGTTTATGTATTGGAAGGTAGCCCTTTAAGTTTGTAGCTTAGAACTCTGATGAAAGTGGAATTCAAGTAGCCATTTAAGTGAAATGGTGTGGGGCATTTACTTTGTGGAGCAGTGGTTTAGTTTCATTCTTTTAGAAGTTCTTACTGTAAAATGTAACAGAAAACGAATAAAACAAATGTTGACATAAATAATTACAAAGAGAATACCTGTTTAACTACACCCAGGTCAGAAATAGAATATTAACAACAATGCGGAAACTCTTGTGTGTTCCTTCCCCAATCAGAAACCCCTTCTTCCCCTGCGTCGTAATCTTTTCTTTGCTCTTCTTTGCTTTTCTTTGTGTGTATAACCATGTTTGTGTGTGTCTCTGAACCATACAGTGTAGTTTTGCTTGTTTTTGAATTTATGTGAATGGAATCATATGTAGTCTTTTGTGTTGTGAGCCATGGAGCAATGTGAGCTATGTTGCGTATTTGCAAACCTGAAAACACAATTTGAGCCAAAATGAGGTAGATAGTCTAACTGAACTGTTCGGCTGTATACCTGTAGATAAAACAAATTACTTCAGAAAAAAGAATAAGTCTCTGAAAAATCTAGTCAGCTT